ATAAATAAAACCAAAATATTCAAAGTATTCATTCAATGATTTAAATCTCCATTTAATGTCATGTATAATTCCATCAATCATGCTGTTAAAAAAGTCAACTCTAAACTTTTCTTCACCATTCTCTATATATACCTTTAGGTTCATCAGTGTGTTCATAACTAAACATTTTTTTCTTCTTTGCTATTCTCTTGTTTTTAAAATTTAATTCTATTTCATAACTACTTTTTTCTATGAACTGGCGAGATTCTATAATACTTTTATTGAATCCTATATCACGATATTCTTGAATCCAATTGCAAAAATTATTTAAAGAATSAACARCCATTTTTAAATTAACTTGAACTGATTGCCAGATTTTACTTATATTATTTACACGAAGTAAAATTTCATACCACACATGTATTGAAACAATAAATTCAAATGTTAACATTTCTTTTAAAATGGCTTCACAATCACATAGAGTTTCTGCGTCTACTATTTGCATTTTAAGTATATTTATACAATCAATGATATCGTCAAATTGAAATAATATTACTTTGACTGCAGCAATTCTACTTTCCCACCTTGTTTCAGATAAAGACTTTAATGTTAGTTTTAATTTATCTTTAATAAGATCCCATCGTTTACTAGATTTTGAAAAGAGCAAATAAATTTTTTGAATAAAGCCAAAAAATGTTTTAGCTGTAATGGAAGACTTAGCAGCATCTACTAAAATCAAATTCCAGCTGTGACAACCACAAGGTGCAAAGAATGCTTTAGGATTAATATTTAATATTCGTGTTTTAACACCCTTGTTTATTCCTACCATATTCGCGCCATTATCAAAACCTTGTCCACGACAGTCTTGAATATCTAAACCATTACTTTTTAGCTTGTGTAGAATAATGTTTGTTAAATGTTCCCCTGTTGTGGAATCAACAGCAATAAATCCAATAAAATGTTCTTCTATATCACCGGTTGACGTATTACAAAATCTTAAAATAATGGACATCTGTTCAACGCGACTTATGTCTCTAGTGCAGTCGAGCATGAAAGCATAATATTTCACTAGTTTTACTTTATTAATAATCTCTTCAATTACTTTTTTAGACATAAGTTTAATTAATTCATTTTGGATATCATGACTCAAATAATGTTGTGCCAGTTGTTTTTCATTAATTAGTTGAAAATGGTTCTGTAATGAATGATCATATTTGGACAATAATTTTAATAAATCAATAAAGTTTCCAGAGTTATTGCTATCATCTAACTTCATTGATTCTCGATGACCTCTAAATGATAGATTATGTGAGGCTAAGAAATTTATTACATTAATTAATTTTTCAAACAAATTGTACCAATGCTTTTGTGATTCACGAATCCGTTTTTCATTTTCTTGATCTATTGATTTCCCGAGTTTAATTCGTTTGTCAAATTCTACCCATTTAATCATGCACACCATGTGCTCTTGGCTCTTTTCGTGTCTTTGCAAAATTGTACTTAGATGTTTCCAGTCACAACATCCTTCACGAATCATTTGTGTTTGTAAATTAGAAAAAACTGTACACGGAAAACAATATATTTTATCTTGAGATTGAGAATAAACTAGCCATCTGCGATGTTGAGTTTCGCCATTACTTAATTTTCTTGTATAGTGGAAGTTAGAAAAATGTCTCTTATTATTGTTTAAAGGATAATTTTCATCGCAAATATCTAGCATCTGTTGAGGACCATTTTGAACTAAATCGTGACGCTGTGAACCTGATAACGGAAACACCCATTTCCCTGGGTCTAAACTCATTAGTGGTTCACTTAAAACAATTTCTTGTTTGTGCATCTCTAAATCGCAAATATTATTTATATTAGAGTTAACATAAAGAGTAATTTCTTTATTTTCAAAAGTATTTATTGGCGGAGAAGTTTCAAGATCAGACTTAATTTCAACTTCTTTGGTCAATTCTTCATTGTATTTTGAAATTTTATTGGATAAATTTCCTTCATTTAAATCCATTTTGGCATTAGGTTCGTCTAAGTCTGTAGTTGTTGATGTACTGGTTTTGTTTAGAAATTTCATCATACTAGTACTCATAGCTTGGTTCACTTGCATCATTTCAGCTATTCTCTTTCTTTTGGAAGCACCAGATTCCCATTTCCGACCAGTATCTCTGTCTCTACTAGATCCAGACATGATACCTACATATGGATAGTTAATTATATTTTAATAATAAATTATTATGTAATATTTATAAAATTATTATTTTATTATTTATTAAATTATATTTATAATACAAATAATATTCTATTAAAAATTACAATTATTTATTAGTTCTTAAAGTTTTAACTAACATTTTCAATACAACATACTAAAATATATTATTTCCATACTTCCCTATTATAAAAAATTATTATTATAGGTATATCTATTCTGTCACAATAAATCGTTTTCCATACTGATTATGTTACTTTCATATTATAATAAAATAATTTTAAAACTTATATCATAAAACAAAAAAAAAAACAATGGAAAATGTAAACACAATTAATAAAGTTTTATACTTACAACTTAGGTACGTGTGGTATGCTTTTTGCTTCGTTAAATATTATTAAATTGAATATAATTTTCGGTAATCGATCGATACAGAAACGAGGATAAAACACAACCAATTGAACTAACAACAACTGTCAAAATGAAATTACGTTATCGAGTTTAGATAAAATCGGTTCGCCGAATCGGTCAGTCTGGCCCCGATAACKCGGTTTATATGTTAATTATAGAATAGTCGCGGTCGTTTGCCGATCGGCAACCGACAAAACGCATAGTGTGATCTGGTACTTTTAGTAATGACTAAATATGACGAAATATAACATTTA